ATGCATTGCTCTGCCTATGCTTATTGCCGTATTGCTTTGCAGTAGCTGTGTAACCATCTGGCAGTATTAAGCCTGTAATAGTAGTGACACCGTGAGATTAATAAAAGCAACTGTCCCTAATCGACTCTGTCTTGAAGCGAATCCATAATCCTGTTGGGCCCTGGCCCTGTGAGTTGACATACCCCTTTAAGTTCTGCATACTGGCTTGACTGCCCCTCCCCCTCTTACCATACCTTGTTCCCGGACTCAGCGTAAAGAGCTACGGCTCGCCACCGCCGCCCCCTTCCCACAAGCCTGCATGAGCCCTCTGTGAAAAAAGCAAACTGCTTCTCCTCGCAGCTTAGCTCATCAAATGCCTTTGCCCATGCTGCCAGTGGAGGCATATCCGTTTTAAGGGGCCCCGGAGTGACCAATTGGTCTGGGGTAGTGGGCCATGTTGCCATTAATTCTACTAACTGTGGGATACTTCCCTTACCCAGTTTGGCCCGGTCCTGTAAAAAGGCCTTCCACTTAATCCATGTTGAAGCTACTCCTCTTCCTTGGAGCTTCATTTCCAAATAGGGTTCCCAATATTGGGTATTGGGGTACAGGCTGTAATGGTACTGCCCCCACCATTCCCTCTACTGTACTGACTGCCTCATGAGCAGACGTTGTTCTGGTCAAGGGAGGGCCGTCCAGGCTCCCCTACAGCAAGCAAAACATTGCCAAGTCCAGCCCTCCTGATAAGGAATGGAAACGTCTGGACATCATGGGCAGACGGTCATCCTCCTCTGCCTCCCTACAGCTACATAGCGCTAATGACACCACAGTGCTGGCAAAATACACTCATCACATATTTGAGCAAACCTCAAATTTTATTCAATTCCTCCCAGAGGAAAAATTAGAACAAATGAGAGCTAACACTAACAAGGGTCTCCTGATAGCCAGAACAGCCCTCCAAGCTGCTTTGGACTCAGCTGTCGCAGCTTCACGAGCCCTTGCCATCTCTGTTGTCATGAGAAGAGCCTCCTGGCTCCACCTGTCTGGTTTCCCAAAGGAGGTCCAGACGAAGATGGAAGACCTTCCATTCGAGGGCCCGAAGTTTTTTGCTGATGGCATAGATGCTTCTTTATATTCCCTGAAAGACTCCAGGGCCACACTTAGAACACTGGGCATCCAGGCTCCTGCACCAAAACGCAAACAAAACAAAACTTACATTCAGAGATACAGACCTTCCCTCTTTGGTCATTCTCAAAGATAATATGACCCTAGAAAGCACCAGCGTTGGGAGAAGGCGGCAGCCAGCCGACCAACCCACTCCATCTCAGTCCTCCAACTCTAGGCAAACGTTTTGTAGGTCGAGAGCTGTCAGATTCGTCTTCCACAGATTAGCACCGTTTTACCATCAGTGGTGCCTCATAACTACAGACAAATGGGTTCTGGACGTGATAAAGTTCGGTTACTGCACCCCCTTCCTATCTCTTCCCAAAACCCAACCACCCACCCTGTCCCTCTTCAGGGACCCATCTCACAAGACTATTTTATGTCAAGAGATCGACCATTTGCTCCATATCAATGCGGTGGAAAGAGTTCCACAATAATATCAAAATACCGGCTTCTACTTTCAATAATTTCTCTCAGAGAAGAAGTCAGGGGGCTGGAGACCCATTCTCAATCTCAGAGCTCTCAACAGATACGTCCTGTACCAATGCTTCAAGATGGTTACCCTCTCCACCATCATACCCTCCCTCAACAAAGACGACTGGCTGGTGACTCTCGACCTCCAAGACGTGTACTTCCATGTGCCTATACACCCTGTGCACAGGAGGTACCTAAGATTCACAGCAGGGGGACGACAATTCCAGTATACAGTACTACCTTTTGGTCTATCCACGGCGCAGAGGGTCTTTTCCAAGGTCTTCGCAGTTGTGGCAACCCACCTGCGAAGACAAGGAGTGTCAATTTATCCATATCTTGACAACTGCCTTATAAAGGGGCAAGTCGTTCCAGGAAACTCAGGACTCAGTCACAACCACCATGTCACTGTTCCGTTCACTTGGCCTCCAAATCCCCACCTGCGAAGACAAGGAGTGTCAATTTATCCATATCTTGACAACTGCCTTATAAAGGGGCAAGTCGTTCCAGGAAACTCAGGACTCAGTCACAACCACCATGTCACTGTTCTGTTCATTTGGCCTCCAAATCAACCTCTCCAAATGCCAGCTCGAACCAACCCAAGTACTAGAGTTTATAGGAGCTCAACTCGATTGCATCCGTGCTATCACATCCTTACCCCATCAGAGGTTCCTCGCAATACTACAACTAGTACAACTTCACACCACAGCTCCACAACTTCCTGCCAGGGCATGTCTCCAGCTACTAGGCCATATGGCAGAAGCGACGACAATTGTCCCGCATGCCAGATTACACATGAGGCCTCTACAACACTGGCTGAGCACAGTATACAGACCTCGGGTAAACAGCCTACACAAGCTGGTCTCACTTCCAAACATGGTCAAACGCTCCTTCCAATGGTGGTCAGAAGCACAAAACATGTGCGCTGGGGTCCCCTTCCACAGGCAAGCCCCATCTTTCACCATCACCACAGATGCCTCACAGCAGGGCTGGGGAGCTTACCTGGGTACCCTCACCACACAAGCACAGTGGACCCACACAGAGACCACGATGCACGTCAATATGTTCGAACTCTGAGCTGTATACTACACCTGCCGGCACTTTGTGAACTGTATTTCCAACTCCACAGTGCAGATCTTTACGGACAACCAAGCTGCAATGTTCTACATAAACAGGCAGGGAGGGGCGAGGTCCTACCCCCTCTGCAGAGAGGTAGTCCAGTTATGGACTTGGTGCATCACTCACAATATAATAATTGCCTCACATCTCCCGGGCAAAGACAACATAACCGCAGTCAGCCTCATCAGGAACTTTCCTGTGAACTACGAATGGGAACTAGACCCCACCATTTTGCATCAAATTTTTACACAATGGGGCTTCCTGCAAATCAACTTGTTTGCCACCAGTGCCAACAAAAAGTGTCCATGCTACTGTTCGCATGCGGGCATTGGAACAGAATCCCTAGGGGACGCATTCATGATACACTGGGAGACAACCCTCTTATACGCTTTCCCCCTATAAAGCTTCTCCATCAAGTAGTCACCAAGATGTGCTTAGATAACGCCAATATCATACTGATAGCGCCAGACTGGCCAAGACAAACAAACCTGGTTATACCTACCAACCGATCGCCCACGGCGTCTCCCACAGCTCCCACATCTCATTCAATGTCATGGTCGCCTTCAGCATCCTCCTCTCCACACCCTGAACCTTCAGGCCTGGCTCCTCAATGGCTCACTCCACTAGAAGCAAAATGCATAGATGAGGTCCAACAGATCCTCCATAGCAGTTGGAGAACATCCACTCGCAAGACTTACCTGTACAAATGGCGCTGATTCTCCACCTGGTCTCACCTCCACAATCTTGACCCATCTTCTGCTCCACTACCCACAGTCCTGCAATACATAACCGAACTCAAAAACTCTGGACTTTCACTCAGTTCCCTTAAGGTTCATCTCTCTGCCATAACTGCTTTACACCACCCAATAGACAGCAAGTCGCTATTTACACATCCCATGACCAAGAAGTTCCTCAAAGGATTACAGAGCACTTATCCACTAATCAAACCTTTGGCTCCAGCCTGGGACCTCAATTTGGTTCTGAGGGCCTTAACTTGTAAACTGTTTGAGCCTATGGCGACCTGCTCTATGCTTCACCTTTCCATGAAGGTGGCCCTACTAGTGGCAGTAACATCTGCCAGGAGAGTCAGTGAAATTGCGGCTCTTGTGACAGACCCACCTTTCACCACCTTCCATAAGGACATGGTAGTCCTCTGACCTCGCCCTAAGTTCGTGCCAAAGGTGCCTTCTCCTTTCCACTGTAACGAACCTATTAACTTACTAGTCTTTTTTCCCCAAAACCCACGCCAACCAGACCGAGGCCACACTCCACACACTTGATTTACAGAGGGCCATTGCATTCTACCTGGAAAGAACCAAGCAAATTCAGAAAACCAACAGGTTATTCGCATCAACCACTGAACAATCCCAGGGACTCCCCATCTCCTCCCAGAGGATCTCAAAATGGATAGTTGAATGCATAAGAATAGCATATTCAACCTTTGGTAAAGAGCCACCTGCACAACTTTGTGCACATTTGACCAGGGCCATGGCAGCATCAACAGCCTATGTACAGGGCATCTCCCTGTCTGATATGTGCAAATCGGCCACCTGGTCATCTACTCATGCATTTGCTGCTCACTATGCTCTGGACTCCTACATGTCCAGAGGAACTGCGTTCGGACATACAATCCTTACTACGGTCCAAAAGGACACTACACCGTCTGAAGCTCCCACCTCCAGTGGATAAACTGCTTGTAGTCACCTAAGGTGGAGCACCCACAGGGACACTCCACCACCCACCCTTGTGCCCCTCTTTGGTATTTTTCCATACTTTCCCGGGGCAGAGAAGGAACTGAGGTGAACGTATCTCGCGCATGCACATTAGCCACCTAGTGCATGTAGCACTTTTGCACATGTGTGAGCTAGCTGTCAAAGCCACTGCTCTTAAAATCTTCCAGCCAGGCGTGCTGCGGCACCAAGACACCTAAGGTGGAGCACCCACAGGGACACCCATCTCGAAGAACGTCAGTTACTGCAGAGGGTGAGTAACCCTCTCATTCCAGTAATTTGCTCTTTGTCCCTCAATAGAGCAGCTCACTCAGCTGTCATATGCTTACTTCTCCCCTCCCCAGCTTTGAAAGGGGAGCGGTGCATGCCTGCAGGGCAACAGAGATCAAAACACTGAGGGTACGTCTACACTACCCAGTTTTGTTGAGAAAAATAATGTTGACATGAATTAAAATTTGCTGACAAAACTGTAGTGTAAACAAAGCCTCATTGAATGTCGTTCTGCAATGTCTTATATATGCATTGTTTCTATTACAGTTTATCAGAAAACCAGTCCTTACTGAGGATGCCCCCATGGGAGAATATCTGGCTGCTGGGTTCTATTTGTTTGTCTATGTCGCTCCATTTTCTTATCCTTTATGTAGAACCACTGCCGGTAAGTAAACTTGTTAATGGGTGCAAGCTACATAAAAAGACAAGCGGCGGCAAAACTATTGGCCTGTAATATCTCTTAAGTTTCAAAGAAGAAAAAACAGACTTCTATTTATTCTGTTTCTATGTGTAACTACAGTAACTCCTTATATAATATTGTAGTTATGTTCCTGAAAAATGCAACTTTCATAGATTCATAGAATACTAGAACTGGAAGGGACCTCATGAGATCATCAAGTCCAGTCCCCTGCCCTCATGGCAGGACTATGCACCATCTAGTTCTTCTTCGAGTGCCGGGGAGCCCCCTGGAGTGGCCGGCATATCGGCGCATATATACCCCTGCTGGTCCTCCACCCCCTCAGTTCCTTCTTACCGCCCGTGACAGTTGCTGGAACACTGGGCTTGCTGCCTGCAAGTGTGCCCTTAGCATCTTTTATCTTGTGTAAATAGTTTTCAAATAGTTAAGTGTTGTTTAAGTTACTGTGTGTGTGTTAGTTAGTAGGTAGTTTTTACCCTTACCCCCCTTCAAAACGGGGTATGCCGGGGCCCCAAGGCTTCAAAGCCTGTGCATGGTGCCTGAAGCTGATCCTTGTGTGGGTCTTCACAGGGCAGTGTTTGAAGTGCCTTGGTAAAGGTCATTTAACAGACTCCTGCAGAATCTGCAAGTCCTTTTAAACCAAGGACCAAACAAGAGCACAGCTCCAGACTCAAGTTGCTGCTGATGGAGTCAGCACTCCAACCCGTGGCACCGGAGCCAGAGCCATCTGTGAGGAGCACCCCAGGGTCGGTGCGAGGTGCAGGATCCACGTTGAAACACTGTGGTGTTGGATCGGCAGTTGGCACCGGTCTCAGTCCCCGGTACTGAGTGCTCACAAGAAGGCGCGAAGGGGAAGGTCACCGTCGAGATGGGACCAGAGGGTGCATCTGCAAGGGGGATACCCTGAGGCTTTATCCCAGTCCAGACGTGAGGAGGCTCTCATGCACCATCAGGAGCCCCGTGCGGGCAAGCAGCCCTGAGGTCCAGGACTTTTCTGGAAGAGATCCTACAGCCGTCGACCCCAGACATGTTTTTGGTGTCCTGAGAGTTCATTGAACTCACCTCCTCCCCGGGTCCGGCACCGCACGGTGTGGAGTCATATGCAGGCCAAGAGCAACAGGGGGACAGAATAGCACCAGCACCGCACGCGGTGCTGCTTCCCTCTTTACTGGTGTGTGAATCTGGTCCAGCACCAACTGTAGTAGCAACACCGATTCCCACGGTACAGGAGCCAGGTCCAGCACGGAGCAGAGCCCTCCCGGCACCGATGGCACCACTGCTCTTGGCACTGGAGTGTGTGGCTAACTTCCCC